CCGCACCGTCAATTACACAGATGAAGAGGAAACATCTGATAAAATTCAAACCTCTTTCATGATTAAAAAGAAAAGAGAACCAGGGGCCTGCTTGGCAGCCAGGGGTTAGACATGCACCTGCTGGGCGACCCAGCAACATCCCCTGCACACGGATGGTCTCGGCAGCCCCGCACTGTGGAGCACATGGCGGTGGTGACAGTGGCCCCGTGGAAGCCACCCACGTCTGCCGCCGATGGTATATCCACAGAAGTGTGGGCCACCAAGAGCACCAAGGACCCACAAGGTGAATCTCAGGACAGGGTCACTGAAGAAAGGGAGACATGAGACTGTTCTGTATGAGCTCACTTAAAGAGAGCTACAAAAGGCTACAGCAGCAGAAATGGAGGAGACACAGGGCAGGTGGGGGGGACACAGGGCGGGTGGGGAGGGCCCGGGAAACTTTCCAGGGAAGCCAAGCATGTGTCTTGACTGACTCGGATGCCGGTTGATCACTATCACCAAAGCACCACCAGCACCGTGGAAACTGGCACCTTGCACTGCGTGTAAACACTGCCTTAAACAGAGGGGGAAGAGGCACCGCCATCAGGGAGGTGCTCACGGATGACAGAAGCCAGACCCCGCTTACGCATGGTCCAGAGCCGCCAACAGACCCGAGTGAGGGAACGCAGATCCTCAAGGGCGGGAAGGGGCTGGCCAGGGCATGACGCCTCTGGCCACAGATAGGTTCTCCCCGACTGGGCCGATGGCGCCCCCTCTAGGGCTCACACGGGTTCGTGTTACACTGGCTGCACCGCAGTGTGTACGTCACACTCGATAAATTGGTCTAAGAACTCAGGGCGTTCAGGGGGTTGAGGGCTAAATGCAAACTTACCCAGAAGCTTGAGCACCTGACCCTGCCTGCAGAGGCCGAGGCCCAGCCTCCTGGGAGCCTGGGGGGAAGGACACAGAGGGACTGCACCTCCTTCACCCAGAGGGGCTGCCGCGTGTTACTTTATTATCCTCACCCAAGGACCTTTTTTCCCCCATTTTCTGTTCAGATAGAGCGGGAGAGAGAGAGAAGAGAGAGAGAGAGAGAAACATCGACATGAAAGGGACACAGTGAGTGGCTGCCACCCGCACAACCAACCAGGGCCGGGGACAAACTGCAACCGAAGTACGTGCCCTTAGTGGGAACCGAACCCGGGTCTCTCTGGACCGCAGGCCGACGCTCTAACCGCTGAGCCAAACCGGCCAGGGCCCAGGTGTTACTTTAAAGGGAAGTTTCGTCCCCACCCCAGACTCCACATGGCCCCGTCTGCTTGGGTCCCCCCCGAGCCAGGCCAGGGACAAATACACTCCTGCTCCCGGGCCCCCCAGCAGCCAGGCTCTAACAGTGTGACCCCTGGCCCAGGCCGGGAGGCAGTGTCGGGTGGTGAGGGCGGTTCAAGAACAAACCCCACCTTCTCTGTGGGACCCCAACCCACCGCCCCTGAGTTCTCGACCTCCAACAGGATCCCCTGGCTGAGCAGGCCCTGCTGGGGGGCCACGGGCCAGCGCTGAGCCTTGGCCGTATCCACCAGGTGGGAGCAGCAGCGCTGACCTCCTAGGGGGCGAGAGAGGGGCCTGGCCAGGAGCTCAGGGGCTCACCGCTGCAGCACACAGCACAGGGCAGACCGGGCACAGACGAGCTCCCCGTGTGTGCCGTGTGGAGACCCCGGCTGCCGGGCACGCAGAGGCTCCCAGAGGCCAGTGGGAAGACCTGGGAAGCACTGTCCCCTGAGGGCAGAAGCAAGATCACGCAGGGCACCAGCTCCTGGGCCACCAGCAGCGCACCCCCATGGAGCCCCACCGTCAGGACAGGGTTCCCGTGGCTGTTTCTAAAGAGGGAGGCAGACGTGTCTGTCTCACGTCCTCAGGGGGCCACGTCTGCCTGTAGTTCAAACATCTGCCTGAGCAGGGCTGGGGGGCCCCGCCTGCGGTCCGGGCCGGGCACCGCGGAGTGAAAGGTGGTCAGACGCAGGAGGGGGCCTCCTCACACGGAACAGGGCAGGGACCCAGGGTGGTGCCAAACTCATCCCACCCAGGCCCACTCCCCAGGGGGCCGAGAGGCGGCTGGCCTGGCCTAGTTGCCACCGTTGGCTGGGGTGACAGGGGCCACCCAGCCATGATCCGATCCCTGTTCAGGGCCCTATTAGCTGCCTGTCTCCCCAGGGTGAGGGCAGGGCCGGCCCCTCTCATCACCACTGCCTGGCCTGCGGGCACAGACGTGTCCAGGGAGCAGAGAGCACAGGGGCCGATCCCTACTGCACCAGTGTGCCTGCCCCCCATGCCCACCCACCCCAGAACCAATACTGACCCCCTTGGCCTGCAGACCCCCCCAGCTCTCGCGCCCCAGGAGCGGCAGCAGGGGCTGACCTAAGCCCCAGAGGGGGCTGGGCCCCAAGCTAGGCCCTGCGGGGGGGAGTGGCGCTGAGTTGGGGTGGGGAGGCCCACTCGGCCCCATCAACTCCCCTCTCCCTGCCAGGGCCTTCCTGTGGCATCACTTCTGACACCAACGAGTTAGAAGGACCGTCCTTCGACGTGGCCTGGCCACGTGGCTGTGGTGGCCCACCAATGGCTGGAGGGCTGACTCGGGGACACGGAGCCACACAGGGGACAGGTGGGAAGCGCCCGGGGCTGCTGGGGTCCAATGGCAGCTGGCTTTACCTGCCATGTTTAAGTCTTTCTTCTCCAAAGCGAGAGGCTGGCCACACTGGCACTGCTAACTGGTCCCCAAGAGAGTGAGGGTGCAGACGGGTCCCTGTCCACGCTTCCTGCAGTGGGTGCTGGTCAAAGACCCAACCTGACCCTTGGCAGGGAGGGAAACTGAGGCCGGGAAGGAGAAGGGACTCCCAAGGGTCCCTACAGAGCTCGCCCACTCCTCATCGGGGACCCCGGCTGGGGGCAGCGGGCTGCTCGGCCACCAGAGGGGGTGTGAGGATGGCCCCAGACCTGGCCAGGCCAAGGCACAGAGGGAACTGGGTAAGAGGGCCAGCACCTGAGGGCAGCAGTCTACGGGGACAGGCCCCCCCTGCCCACATATCCCCACGGCCCCCTCCCCCAACACCCTCTTCCCAGCATGCCCAGCACCCAGTGATGCCAGCGACGTCACTGCCAATAACCTAGATTTTAACCAAGAAATCACACCCCCCCTCCCTGCCCCACTTATGGGCTCACCGAGGAGAAAACCCAGACCAAAGCATCCTGGGCCGGCTGGAGGCAGGACTGGCCCCCATACCCTGCCCCCTCTGGCCTCCCAGCTTCCCAGCACCCCAGGGGGGCGGGACCAGGGGGGCCTGATGGCCGCGGGGCCCTGGCCACAGTGGACTCACACCCTTGTCTGAGTCCTGGGGGCGGAAGGCCCAGATACAAGGCCACGGGACAGCTCAGCCTGCAACCCCAGCCTGGCCTCCCTGGCCCCATCCCACTGCCCCTGCAGAACCCCAAGGACACAGACGGACCACTGTCCAGGTGCAGAGGGGGCTCTGGGACCCTGCAGCCGGAGGGGCAGGTGCTTCCCTCTCCCGAACCTGCCACGGCCCGAGGCCACCCTGGCTGCGGTGGGCGCTTGCAGGGAGGATCCCGGAGACATGTTCCGCCACGGGCATCAGTGGGTGCGCCCCCAGGTCCCTGACCCCCACTCAGCACCATGCAGCTGGCACGACAGGGAGTCCTCAGGGACGCGGGGTCTGCCTGGAGCTGCCCGGTCGGGGGCGCTATGCGGCCTTCCCCCAGCTCCGTCTGCACAGGCTGGTTCCCAGACGTCCCCGCGAGGCCTGAGGCCCACGGGCCCTCAGAAGGGTCAGGCCACTCCCCACAGGTGTCCTGGGACTGGGAACACAGCCTGCCTCCCACCGACAGGACAAACAAGTCCGGCCGAGGTGGTCTGCGAGCCACGACGCAGCGGGACTCGTGCCAACGTACACTGAAGTGAAGTGGCGAGTTCCAGGGAAAAGCCATCCCCAGAGCCCAGAGCCAGCCCCAGCCCGCCGGCTCCTGGGACCCAGCTGTCCCAAGGGCCCCGCTCCCTCTGCCCTGGCCCCCGGGGCTGACAGAGGAGCCCCCCAGAGGAGGGAGAGAGGAGGGGTGGCGGCGGCTGTCCCATGGGGGCACGAGGACACAGGCAACAGGGGCAAGAAAGAGCCTCCGGCTGCCCCTTGGGGCCCCAGCTCTGGGCGTCGCTTCCCGCTGGCCTGTGTCTGGTTCCAGGGCGCTGGACACGGGCCCCGCATGCAGATCAGGGCAGGCAGCGGGCCCAGGCACACAGCCAGTTTTCGGGGAACACAGAGAGCAGGGGGACACCCGATCTGGGCCCCAATGACGGGACCCTCTGCGGAACAAGTCGTGAGCCTTTTCCAGGGATGTGACGCAGCCCACAGCACAGGCTTCTCGGGTGTGCAGGTCCCCAGTGGGGGAGCCCCCTAAAGCTGGGGGCAGCTCACTCAGTTCTACAGGCGTTTTCTGGCCTGTGCCTTGGTGCTGGGCGCAAGGAGGTGGTGGCACATGGGATGGGTGCGGGGAGATCTCTGGCCTCAACGAGGGGCGAGACCCAGGGGGTGGAGGAAGGGCTAAGGGGCACAGACCCGCCGGGCTGTCACAGCTGGGACACAGGCTTGGGGCAGGTGAGGGGCCGGCTTGGGTCACACCGTGTCCTGGGCCCACTGGGGCCCCCAGTCTCTTCATCTGTCCCGGGGGACAGGACACTCCTGCATGCTACACCAGCTCCCAGTGGGTCTGCTCAGCTAAACACCTTCCTGCGGCCTCTCATCTCGGATCAAATTTAAAGTCCTCGGCTGCGGCCCTGCAGGACCGATCCAGGGCCCGTCCTACCGGGTCTCAGCGCCCACCAGCTCCTGCCGTCTGGGTGGGGTGCTGCCCTCTGCACCTCCAGTCTGCGGCCTCCCCGGCTCCCCAGCAGGCTGCGAGGGCCACAGGGAAGGGTCGGGGTTACCGCGGCGCCCCCACAGGCCACGGTGCGTTACCTGCGTAGCTGCCGGTGGCCTTGACGTACATCTGGCTGTACTGCTCCTCCACCATGGTGTCATAGGCCTCGTCGTCCTCCTCGTCCTCCTCGTTGTGGTAGGAGGTGGGGCTGTCGGTGGTGGGCAGGCTGCTGGCGCCCGGGCTGGTCCGCTCCCCCTGGGAGTAGGGCACCTGCTGGATGCTGGGGATGAGGGTGGCCAGGCTGGGCACCCCGTAGTAGGAGACCCGGGGCAGCTTGAGAGGGGTCGCGCCGGCCGCCACCGCCGTGCCCGCCGCCACCGCCGCGCCGTCCCGGGGCCCAGACTCCAGCGGGCGCTTGGGCGCCAGGCCCGGACCGGCCGCTGGCGGCAGCTCCGTGGCTTCGTGCTTCACGCGGGTCAGCAGAGGGATGGGCACGGAAGGGGACACGACGTAGGGGGGCCCGGGGGCGGCCGGCGGCAGCTGGTTGCAGGGGCTCTGGGGCTCCGAGCTGGCGTCCTCCATCACGGTGGTCTGCGAGTCGCAGTGGGGCGAGCTCACCTTGAACATGAGGTCGGTGCCGCGCTCCACAATGTGCTGGATCTGCAGGAAGCCGGCCGTGTACATGACCACGAGCTGCTCGCTGGCCGCCATGGTCAGCCGGCCCGTGTAGCAGAAGGACAGGATCTGCTGGAAGCAGGCGGGCGGCACCGTGCCCGGCAGCTCGAAGGCGCTCTTGCTGTTGCCGCTGAACAGGTCGCGGAAGTAGAGGCTGCTGGCGGCCAGCACGGCCCGGTGGGCTTTGAAGGCCTGGCCCTTGACCACGATGGACACATCGCAGTAGAGGCCCAGCAGGCGCTGCTCATTGAGACAGCCCAGCACCGTGCTCCCGAAGTTGGGGATCTCGATGTGCAGCATCTGAGACATGGCGGCGGGCTGGCGGGGCCTCAGACTCGGCGTGGGAGCCGCCCGAGCGGGCACATCTGTGGGGAGAGGGCAGGGGGCACCGGTCAGCTCCGCGCCACCCCCCGAAACACGCACACCCCCTGCCAGCAGCTCCATGCAGAACCCTCCAGCCAGAACCGGCAGAGGTCTTGGGGCGACCTCCCCGCCAGGGCTCAGAGCTGCACAGGACGCCAGAGGCCCGACTCCTTCCCGGGAGAGACTGAGCCCTCGGTGGAGACCCCGTCCCAGCAGAAGGCAGGAGAGGCCCAGCAGGGCATCGGCCCGCGGCTGGGAGGGCGAGGGCAGCCGCTCACGAGACTTTTCCCAGGAAAGTTAGCAGCAAGAAGCCCCTCAGCGCCTCTCCCCAGGGAGGGGCCGGAACCCGCGGGGGGCAGCCCACCCCGCGCCACAGGGGGTCTTTCCCCGAGCCGGGGTTTCTGGGCTGTTCTTCCTCTTTTTTCTCAGGGCAGCAGGGCAGAGACGGGGTGGGGGCGCCCAGGGAAGTGAGCGGCTGGGAGAACTCCACAGCTCCGGCGGCTGCCCCTCCAGGTCCCGCAGAGGGGGCTCCGGGGCCAGAGGGGCTCGGTCCCAAGCTGCCTGTCGCAACCCCACCGGCACTAGCTCAGCCCCCCGGCCCCCCAGCTCCCAACACGGGCCAATCCCCACTGGCTTGGTCCAAGCCTAGGTGACTACAGGGGTCATGGGGAGACAGGGCAGGGGCGCCCCAGGGCTGGGATGGGGCTCTGGCACTGTTGATCCTGTGCCCGATTCCAAGGGGGGCTGGGACGGACCGGCCGCACCGGGCGCCGACTCAACTCCGCGCAGCCCGAACCACACAAAGGCCGCTCTGTCCCGCGGGAGGGAAGTGCCGGTGGCCGCAGAGGCTCGAGGAGCCGGACAGAGGGGGCAGAGTGAGGGCGGAGTGCCCCAGGCGGACCGCGACAGAGTTGGGCAGGTGGGCAGCCGCCGGGGGAGGGCCCGCGGCGCCCCCACTGCGGAGAAGTTGCCAGCCAGCGGGGGAGACCTACCTTTGGCCGCTGCTGCCGGTGGCCCTGCGCTGCCCGCTTAGCCTGGCAGGGGCAGGCTCGCCCGAGCGCCCGCAGCCGCCAGCTGCTCCGAGAATGCAGCAAGCGGAGCGGGAGCCCTTGGGGCGGGGAGGGCGAGCGAGCCCGGAGGAGGGGGAGGGGGAGGGGGCAGCGCGGCGGCGGGCTGGGCGGCCGCGGCTCAGCTGCACCCAGCCGGGCTCTCCCGGGCAGCGCACAGCATCTAAATGAAGAGGCCGGATGCAGACGGACCTCCAGGCAGCTCCCGGGAATGAATAGCTGCCTTTGATTTGGGAGCTGGAGTAAATGCCAGCTCCCAGCCCGGCTTTGGAAACAGCGCGGTGTTGGTTCCAGAGGAATGCGCGGCCCCGGGTGTTGGTACAAGACAGACTTTTGATGACTCACTGCAATGCAAACAAAGATGGCAGAAATACTGTACCGTACGCGGGAAGTGCTCGGGTGCCGCGGCCAGAGGCCGCCTGGAAATTTATCGGGCAGTTTTGCATATGAATCGCCCAGTAAACGGCCGCCCTGCCGTCCAGCACAGCCCCGGTGTCAAAGCATTTAAACTATTCCAAACAGTCTGCAGAGCCCCCGCCGAGGGGCCGGGCGGGGCAGCCAGGGCAGGAGCTGGGCGAGGGAGGGGGCCAGAGGGAGGAGCAGGGGTAGAAGAGAGACCGAGGCAGGAACTGGAGAGCCAGGGCCAGAGGAGAGGCCCAGAATCGACGGGGAGGCCACGGCTAGCGTCCCTGCCCCCCAGCGCCCCAAGGGCCCCAGCGCCCCCTTCCTGCTTCTCCTGCAAGTCCAGCCCACCCGCCCCACTGGCCTGGGGTAGCCACCCTGCCCTTCAACCTCCACCTGGACCAGGGTTTACAGCAGAGGGACTGAGGCAACCAGGGGCCTCCAAAGGCCAGCCGGCGCCCACGGGCCTGCCCCTTGCAGATGTCAGCAAGGACCCACCTCCACAGTTAGCGAAGTGGGCCGGGCTGCCCAGGTGGCCAGTGTCCAAGCTCCCCGAGCCTTTCCTGGGGATAGGGGTGCTCTGTGCACAGCTTATCTTGCCCCAGAGCAGGGGCACCTCCTTCTAGGCTGAAGCCTCAGCGTCCCCACGCACCACCCACGGCGGCCCTAAGAGCGTACGCAGCCCTTGAGACGGGACAGGTCCAAGCGGAATGGCCGAGGTCTGGTCCCTGCAGTGACCGCCATCCCCTGAGGGTTAACCCTGGTGATGGGGGGCGGGGGACACACAGCACCTTTCCTCCCCCCCACCCCCCCGCACCCAGAGAGCGCCACCCACACACTGTGGGCTCCGCTTCCAGACCAGATAGAAAGCAGCTGAACGGGGGCGGGAGGAAACCCAGGTGAGGGGAACAGCCAGGAGCAGAGGCCGGGAGAGGCTCCTCGGAGAATCTGAGCCTCCCACACGGGGCTCAGACAACTGGCGGGTCACACCGGACAGGGACTGCGAGTGGGCACTGGCAGAAACGTCCCCCCTCGGCCGCCTGAGCGGCCAGGGACTGCACCAGCCGGGAGGCGGCTCAAACCCTCAACACACTGCAAACCGGCACCTCCGCACCTGCCAGCGTGGGGTCCTGGAGGGCCTCGCCCGCTGGCGGGCTGTGAGCCCAAACCTGGGCCCTTCCTCACCTGGACCTGGGCGGGGGAGACAGCCTGAGTTCGTGTGGCCTGGGCAGGCCGAGCGGAGGGGCCAGGGCCAGCCTGTCGACCGTGGGCCAGGCTTCAGAGCACAGGCCCTGGCGGAGGCCCTGCACCCACCAGGCCTGGGTCTGCACAGGGCGCCTGGCCGGCCAGCTGATCCACACCAGGACGCCCGCCCTGGGGAGCTCCTGCCAGAAGCCAGCAGGCCCTGGCCTGGGCTGTGTCACCCTGGTGGCTCCCTGTCCTGGGGCCTTAAGATGGGGCTTGGGGGCCCCACGTGTCCACCCAGCCACAAAGAGGGCCACGCTGGGAAACAGGACACCCAGAGACTGAGGAACAGCAGGGCCTGTAACCAGGAGGGGAGGGTGGGTGCAACCCTGCCTGGGTGCAGGACGGGGCCCGGGCCCAGGACACAGCCTGCCCCTGCCCTCACAGGGCCTCTCCTCCAGAGCCATGCCCCAGCCGAGGGCAGTGCAGAGCCACCGTGGCCTTCAGGCCCTGCGTCCGGCCACCTCCTCCGGGAAGCTGCCCAGATGCACTCATGAGCTCAGCCAGTGGGGCCCTCTGCCCAGTGTCTATGGAGCTTTTAACCCAATGCTGGGCATGGTCAGCAAGAGGAAGAGGAGAGGGGCTGTGCTGGCCAACCACACACAGCACAGTGCAGGGTGGTGGTGTGTGTGTACATGTGCATGTGCATGTGTGTATGCATGTGCGTATGTATGTGCAGGTATGTGCATGTGTGTGCGCATTAGTATATTGTATATGTGTGTATGTGTATGCATGTGTATATTGTACATGTGTATGTGTGTGCACGTGTGTGTGTGTGTGCACATGTATACGTGTGTGTGTGCATGTGTATGTGTGTACGTGGGTATGAGTATACATATGTGTATGTGTGTGCATGCATGTGTATATTGTATATGTGTGTGTGTATATGTGTGTGTGTGTGCGCCAAATAGCCTCTTTACAGACCCACAGGGCTCACCACTGAGAGCCTCCCAGAGACTGAAATGGAGTCACCTGAGCCAGACCGGGGTGGGGGATCTTGTGTTATAGTGAGGGAGGGGCACCCAGCCTGGCTGGGGTGCAGAGAAGCTAGCAAAGGTGGCCCGGGGCTGGGTCCCTACTGGAGAGTGGGGATGGCGGAAAGGCCTTGGCACCTGTCCCTTCCAACGCGGGTCCACTGGGCACCCCCCACGCCAGGCCCAGCCCCAGAGACAGCATCCCACATCCTGTGGCCTCAAGCCAACAGCACCTACAAGCTCACCTGTCAGTGGAGGTCAGCTGCACCCTCAGGGTCACGTGGGGTCCAGGGGAGGCCTTAGCAAAACCCTCATGGAGCAAGGTACACGCTGCCCCAGGTGCGCCGTCACCTGCCGTGACCTGGGTGGGCGGGTGACGGTCCAGGGGGCGTCTGTCACTCCTCCCCGCCGGCCTCGGCCTGTATTTCAGGGGCCCGCACCCCGGGGCTGGGGCCAGACCACTTGCCCAGAGAAGGGACCATTATTCCCCTGGAAGGTGACGGGTGTCTGGGTCCCCGGGGACCGAGGACAACTGGCACCACTGCCGCCGTGTCCTCATGCCACCTGTGCGGGCGAGGCTGGCGCCCGAGGCCCGGCCCATGGGAGCCCGACCCGAGCTGGTTTTAGGTTGCTTTCTTAGAAGCCTCGGCTGGGGCAGGAACAAAGCTGAACTTTAGGAGAAAAGAATAAAATAAAGGCTTGGTTTACGTGCCCAGGGCCGACCCCTGTGCAGCAGCCAGAGAGGAGGGGCCGGGGCCCTGAGCAGCCGCCGGTGGCAGGGACGGCCATCTGCCAGGAAGGGAGGCACCTCCTCACCTCTCCCTGCCGGTAGGGCCCAGCCCGGCCGGGACCACCTTGCGCCCCTGCTTCCCCGGTAACACCCCCTATTCTGTCTCCCTCCACAGGAGCTCGGCTGGGCCCTTTGCTTACAGAAGCTGGAAAGAGCCAGGCAGAGGTCCCTAACCAGGTTCGATGTGGCCGTCCTCACAGCCACTGCACCATGGAACCCTCCCGAGAACACCCTTCAGAACGGAGCCCCCTTTGGGAACCCCTGCTGACACCACAAAGCCAGAGTCCAGCACCCACAGCTGTGCCAGCCTGGGGGGCACCCCATGCGGACTCCAATACCTCTCCCAGGATGAGAAAATGTGGGCGGCCAGGGCCAGGGGTCCTTCTGTGGACCCTCCTTCTGGGCAGCAAGGACCCAGGCCCTGGGGTGTCAGCCAGAGCTCCCCCTGCCCCAGCAGACTGCTGTTGTCCCTCCAAGAAGGGGACAGGGTGCTGGCCCAGGAGTGGTGCGCACACACACACACACACACACACACACACACACACACGTGCACACATACGAGCACAAACATGAGCACTCACGCACATGTGAACATACGTGCACATGCACACACACAAATGAGCACACAGGCACACACATGAGCCCACACAGGCTGAGGGATCAGACCAGCCCAAGGCCCACAGAAGCCCAACGGGACCGGCCCAATGCTCCCCACGCCCTGCCCACCCAGGTTCTGAACCACTTCCTGGGGCGAGGGCACCGCAAGGCTCAGGAACGCACGGTTTAATTTCTGCGAGATCACTACCAGCACAGGAACGGGAGGCGAGATAAATTAAATTAAATAAAATGATTTTGCAGGATTTAATTTTGCCAATCTAATAAGAGGTCTGGACCCGGCAAACGCAGGGCCATTAAACACCCACAGCGGGGGGAGGAGGAGGCGGGCACACCGGGAAGGAAGCACCCTGGCAGGGAGAAGGGAGCCCCTCGCCACCCCCACGTTCTGCGGGCCTGTCCCGGGCAGCCCCTCCCTGGCGGCCAAGCCCGTCCTCTCAGCAGCCAGCCCAGCTACAAGGACTCCTCCCAGAAGTCAAGGGGCTCCAGGGTCCGCGAGCCCGAGGCCACCGGGCGGCCTGAGTCAGCACGCCGGCCTCAGGAACGCGGCCAGGCTGCTGCGTGCAGGCTGCCGGGCTCACTTCGGACTGACCTCTGCAGAGCAACGGCCTTGCTTCCCCAGCACAGTGCAGGCTGCAGGCACAGGCCTGCAGGAGGGGAGCTCACGGTCACGTCATCACCCACCACGGACACAGCAGGGCGGGGAGCCGCGGGAGGTGGCCCTTTGGGGGTCAAGGTGCCATCTGCATGGAGGTGGCCCAGCTCAGGCGTGCCAGGGCGCTGGGGGCTGGGCAAGGCACCAACTGGTTCAGGCTTCAGGTCTGCATTAAACTTTTAATACACCACAGAGCAGAGCCAGGCCCCCGCGGGCCTGGCCTCCCGGCTGAAGGAGGGCCAGCTGCCCCGACAGCGCTGGGCAGCAGGAGCAGGCTCCTGGGCAGGGTCTCAGCTG